TACAATGTGCAGGGCTGAGGGCTGAGGGCTTCACAGACCTAGTACAGCTCGTGAAGTGGCCAGGGTAGACCAGAGCCCCAAACTAGCAGCCATCATGTGTGAAGAAACGAACCAACAGGCTGCCTATGAAGACTGCAGTCAGCAGGAAGACCCTGCTTCCAGTCCTGAGGAACAGTTACATGTGGCCCACATATACTGCATTCTGCCTGAACAATACAACCCGGCCTTGTCATCCAACACATATGACTTTCTCCACGCCATGGTTGATTCGCTTACTGAGTACGTCTTGATGCTGGTACGCTCTGAGGGCAACAACAACGTCGGGAGGCCTGCCAACCCCCAAGACAGAGAGAGAGAAGCAGACAACAACCGTGAAAGTCCCCCTATCATCCTGAATGTGTCCTTCTCTTTCTCGGATGAGGCACCTGGGCCCAGAAGGAACGGCTGAGAAGTGATGAGAAGTGCCTAGTGGGAAGCCTCTGAGGCTTAGCCAGGGCCATGATGTCTCATGGAAGGGGAGGCCCCACTGTTGTCAGCAACAAACGCTAATAAAGGCTTTCAATCATGCAATACTTTTGGCTTTGTTTCTGTCCTTTTGCATAGGAGGTGTCTGAGGGACATGGGGGAGCGCTGCCCTCCAGAGGGGTGCTGTGTTGCCTAGGGCAAGGGTGGGCGGGAGGCCACGGTCAGCATGAGGCCTTTGGATTGGTGGTTCCAGGGGAGGAGATTCAGTGGGGGTGATGAGTGCTGTGGTCTTGGGGGAGGAGGTGGTTGGGATAGAGAACAGAGGACACATGTGTAGTGGATAGAAGTGAAGAAGGCCCTGGGAGGCTCGGCATTTTTGTAGGCATCCCCTAGGCATGCTGCATTCTCAGCAACCGGGGAGGAGCTGAAGACCATCACTGAGGTGGGGAAGGCTTTTTGCATGTTCGGGAAGGTCTGAAGTGAACAGCAGATCTAACAAAAGAAGTAAAAGATCTATTCAATGAAAACTACAATACTCTGAAAAAAGAGATAGAAGAAGATTTCCATAAATGGGAAAATATTCCTTGCTCATAGATAGCAAAAATGAACATTGTGAAAATGGCCAATCTCCCAAAACTGCTGCACAGATTCAATGCAATTCCCATTAAACTACCATTAGCATACCTCACAGATCTCCAGAAAATATGCATTAAATTCATCTGGAACCAGAAGAGACCCAGAATAGCAAAAGCAATCCTGGGCAACAAGGACAAGTCAGGTGGAATCACAATCC